GTCCAAGAAAACGACTATTTCTCACATATTATTATGGCCCACATAGTAAGTACACCACTGAAAATTCACATAAATGTCCAAGATAAAAATAAAATGTTTTCACTTCTTATTATGGCCCACATAGTAAATACATCACCTTAAAGGTATAGGTAATTCACTTCACAGAGTTTTGAGACAAACTTTCCGCCGGTCTCGACCGAAATCTGCTCGTGTCACTCGGTTATTTTCGGAAACCACGTGATGACCTGCTGATAATGACATTTCCAGATTTCAAGGTTTCGAAGTAAGAGCATGATGGTTTGTTTAATGCACTGTTTTTGTATTCTAGTGAACAGCGGAATGTTAGATCCATTCTGTATCACCATCATCATCATGTTATAGTGATACAGTTAGTTTGTGTTAGTTTATTTGTTCAATACAGCATATCGAGCATATTCGTATGCATTGATGTTGAAGTACTTAGGCTACGCCACTTTCGGGGCCCGGTGGGCAGCGAAGTAGAGACAACTCTTTCTTCATATTTTGTTGTGTATTCATTCAAGCGGGTCAAAGTTACAAAGCACTTCCCATCTTATTAATCGGCCTAGTTTTATCTTACCAATGGTTATCTGTTGAAAAGCACCGTATTTAGGTTAGCCTTCACAGTAAGGCTACATTAAATGTTGTAATATTCATCGTGTCCTTTCTACTGTTTATGTATATTCCTGTTTATTGCTTTTATTTGTATTTGTATTTGTATTCTGCCTGCCTGCCTGCCTGCCTGCCTGCCTGCCTGCCTGCCTGCCTGCCTGCCTGCCTGCCTGCCTGCCTGCCTGCCTGCCTGCCTGCCTGCCTGCCTGCCTGCCTGCCTGCCTGCCTGCCTGCCTGCCTGCCTGCCTGCACGAAGTGTATATACCAGAGTTCTCGTTAGCCGGTAATTACCGGACTACGACCGGTAAAATATGAAGACCGGCAAATCTAAATCTCTCCAGTCAGTGTCCGGTCAAAATAATTTCCGTTTAGCGCATTACCACATCAGTTGAGTATGGGCTCAGAACAGTCTCATAATACACACATGTGCACAGAAGGATTCACACTTGTATTTCATGATCCGCAAAAGGATTCACACTTGTATTTCCGGATCCACACTTGTGTTTTTCAATGCACACACAAATGTATTCCGTTTCATATACATGTAAATACAATCCAAATACAGAAAAAAGTTTTACATGTGTATTTTTGATCCTCACATATTTGTTTTCCGTTTAAAACCTCTGAACCTGCAAACACAAACAGCTTTCTGTGCACGGATCGCTGTGCATTCGTGTGTGGGTTTTTTGAGACTCCCCTGACGGTCAGCCGATTCGTACTTGTAATTATTTCTATCTATAGCCAATCAGATGTCTCCTCAATTCTAAGCCAATCACATGAGCGCGCCCCCACGAGGGTAGATTTCTTGCGTTCATGACGTAGCGCTTCATGTACGCATTTTGCTCAGTCCGGAGTTGACAGATCTATGGAGCCTGCCTGCAGGCGCTAATCTCAGGACACCCTCCACTCTCAGTACAGCGCCACTTTCCGAACAGGAAAAGCACGCAAATACAAGCCTTTATATTATTAAGGTACAGCGCCACTTTCCAAACCATTGATGAATGCTTGTGTACACAAAAACGGCAGGCAAACCCGTTTTAAATGTGTGTTTCCTGTATGGCAAATACAGCTGCTTTATTTATGTCTGTATGAAGTTGTTGTGAGTGTGGAGGGAGCAGCTACAGGTTAGCTTAGCCTAATCGATCAGTGCACTACGAAGCCAGTGCTAGACAGTGACCTGTTAACAGGGGGGAGCCCCGCCGGTCATTATCGGCCGATATTCACTCTTAATAGTTTGATCGGTGCTCTCTATAAAGGCCGATCAGGAAAGCTGGATCTGATCGATATGGACATAAACGTGAGTGAAGTATAACCGGACGCAAGAGAGAGATCAGATCAGCTGCTGAGTCTGATGGAGACAAGCTGCTCTGCATGATCACCTGATGCTCCGCCCTCTGTTTAGCGAGCTGACCGGACTGCGCAAAATGCGTATATGAAGTAATCTTACCCTCGTGGGGGCGCGCTCATGTGATTGGCTTAGAATGAAGGAGACATCTGATTGGCTATAGATAGAAAACATTACAAGTACGAATCGGCTGACCGTCAGGGGAGTCTCAAAAAACCCACACACGAATGCAAAGCGATCCGTGCACAAAAAGCGGTTTGTGTTTGCAGGTTCAGGGGATTTAAACGGGAAACTAATAAGTGAGGATCAAAAATACATATGTAAAACTTTTTTCTGTATTTGGATTTTATTTACATGTATATGAAACGGAATACATTTGTGTGTGCATTGAAAAACACAAGTATGGATCCGGAAATACAAGTTTGAATCCTTCTGTGTGCATGTGTGTATTATGAGACTGTTCTTAGCCCATAGTTGCGCAACTTGCACCATTTATGTGACAGACAAAAGAGTATGTGACAGACAAGAATAGTCAATTATAATGTCTAACACGTAATGTGGAGAAAGAGATGTCCTGTATGGGTTGATTGTGCGTTGATCTGTTGGTAATGCCTAGGGGTTCCGGTGGGCATGTAAACAAATGCATAATGCTGCGCTATACTTTGCGGCCTCACCCGGTTGCATATCGACACTTATTGTTTAGGTGTCTTTTAATAAGCAGGTAGTCATATCATTAGCTAGAACTAGCTGGATCTGATCGATATGGACATAAACGCGAGTGAAGTCTAATCTAACGGGAGAGAGAGATCAGCTGCTGCTGACGAGTCGACACGCAGCTCGGCATGATCACATGCAGTGGTGAGCGGAACAAAACACACACACACCGGTGAGTGGAACAAAACACACACACCAGGTTAGAATAGCACACGTAGCTATTTTAATGACCTCTCAAACTACCGTAACTATTTATAGATATGTTTAGTTTTACTATCGGGTCACTCATTACTGGATCCGCGAGCTGCATGATACTGACGGGCTGTCAGGAGAGGGAGAGTGCTCCGTTTATTATTCCCGTGTTATTGTAAGTTACTGTTCACTTTTGAATAATGTAGTTAATCTACTATAATTAGTTTGTTTAATATTGAATCATATCAATTTGTTTTAAAGCACAATAAATAGCAAAGAAGACCTTTGACCGGCACTTTTCAAATTTTGTCCGGAAGATTTAAACTTTAACGGACATGTTGACCGGCGAAAAAATATTCTAACGGTAACTCTGGTATACACAGTATACACAATGAATATGACAACATTTAATGTAGCCTTACTGTGAAGGCTGACCTAAATACGGTGCTTTTCTACAGATTACCTTACCACTGCACTGGTAAGGTAAAACTAGGCCGATTAATAAAATGTGAACTGTTTTGTAACTTTGACCCGCTTGAATGAATACACAAAAGGCTGTGAAGGCTGACCTAAATACAGTGCTTTTCTACAGATTACCTTACCACTGCACTGTTAAAATAAAACTAGGCCGATTAATAAGATCATCTTATTAATCGGCCTAGTTTTACCATAACAGGTAAACAGGTATTTAGGTCAGCCTTCACAGCCTTTTGTGTATTCATTCAAGCGGGTCAAAGTTACAAAACACTTCACATCTTATAACTTTGACCCGCTTGAATGAATACACAAAAAATATGAAGAAAGAGTTTTCTCTGGGGCTACTTCGCTGCCAGCTGCAGCCCCCCGAGCCTCGAAAGTGGCGTAGCCTAAGTACATCAATGCATAAGAATGTATGTGCTCGATATAGGCTGTATTGAACAAATACACTAACACAAACTAACTGTATCACTATAACATGATGGTGATAAAGAATGCACCTAACGTATTGCTGTTCATTATTACATTACATTGCATTTAGCTGACGCTTTTATCCAAAGCGACTTACAATAAGTACATTCGACCAGGAAGACACAACCTTGAAGAAAACAGAATCATATAAGTACATCAGGTTTCATAGAGCCAAACATTTCAAGTGCTACTCAACTGGCTTTAGGTGAGCCAGTCCTTTATTAGTATAAAAGTGCTTCGTTAATAGTTCTAACGCTCGAAGTGGAGTCGAAAGAGATGAGTTTTCAGTTTGCGCCGGAAGATGTGCAAGCTATCTGCCGTCCTGATGTCAACAGGGAGCTCATTCCACCATCTTGGAGCCAGGACAGCAAACCCACATGTTTTCGCCGATGGGAACTTGGATCCCCCTCGCAGCGAGGGCGCAACGAGTCGTTTGGCTGATGCAGATCGTAGTGCACGCGCTGGGGTGTACGGTTTAACCATGTCCTAGATGTAGGAAGGGCCAGATCCATTCGCAGCATGGTAAGCAAGTACCAGTGTTTTGAAGTGGATTCTAGCAGTTACCGGAAGCCAGTTATTATATAGTAATACAAAAACGGCGCATTAACACTCTTGAGTCTTTTTTAGATGTCTCCTTAAATCACCTTTTAAATGTACTTGTTATACATGGCACCCCGTGTGTTACATATCAAAGTGTTCAGGACATTCTCTGTTCTTGGTATACTGTAAAGTCACTCACCTTTAAAGCACTGTGTGATGAGAGAATTAGCTCTAAAGCTGAACATTTGACATCCCATTTTTTTGAAATCTTCAAAACTCTTGTGAAAACACAGACTTACTCATGTCAACCATTTCTCTGGTGTTTTAGATTCGGTTTACCAAAGTCTTAGGTTCACAAAAGTAGTGTAATATATGACTAACACTATACATTTGTAATTCATGTCTAAAATGAAAATGTTTAAATTCGAATTTTGAGTAAAATAATTGTTTGTCAATCTACTTTCCCCACAACAGGGACTGAGATACATCAGGACTTACTTAATATGGCATACCAAGGTTGTGTAATGTGTACAAATACAAATTCAGCATTAGAACTCTGTGTCAACCAACATTTATTATAAATATGTTTTTTTCAACCAACTATTTATAAAAATATAAGAAAGCTGGAAAATATTATTATTTACAATATCAAAACTTGTTCAACCAACTACTCATTATAAATGTAAAGACAGGGGGAGCAGTGGCATGGTCTTTGTCTGTCTTCCAAGACAGTGGGACTGGCTGCTGTGGGGGTGATGGTGGCTGTGTTGGAGGGAGGTACGTTTGATTGTCCCGGGTTGATGCTGGTGGCTGTGTGGGAGGTACGTGTGCTCTACGAGACCTCCTTGCTCGCCGGGTTGATGGTTGTGGATGTGTGGGGGGTACGTGTGTTCTAAGAGACCTCCTTGCTGGCTGAGTTGATGCTGGTGGCTGTGGTGGAGGCCTTTGTGCCGAGGTGTATCTTGACCTGATGGCAGGCACAGATGGAGGTGGAGGCAGCTGTAGTGATGCTGGTCTGCTGGTCCTTGGTGGTGATGTCCTTGGTGGTGATGGCAGTGGTGAAGGCCCTTGAGCCACAGTGTATCTTGACCTGGTGGCAGGCACAGCTGGAGGTTCTGGCTCCTGGATATATGCCGCCTGTGGGCCGCTAGGCCCAGGCAGATGTGAAACCTCTCTGTACAACCAATTAAAATGTAGGACAATAATTACTACTAAGTTCATTGAAATAAAGTTCAAGTGGCATGTTGCTTAAGCACAAATAACAAGGCACAACTAAAAGTAAAGTTTGGGAGGTGGGGCAGGAGTCTCTCTCTCTCTCTCACTCACACACACACACACACACACACACACACACACACACACACACACACACACACACACACACACACACACACACACACACAGGTATTTCCAGTTACTTTACATTCAGTATAAAATCACAGACACACAAATAAATAAATCTATATCAAAGTTCCTCTGTACAAAACAGTATGATAAAATACATGTTTATAGCCACTGTAAATGTCTCCGTTGTAGGACGAATAAAGGATTATTTTTTCATCTACACATGTAACCTCACTTTTACAAATCAAAATAACTTTTACACATAAAAAACGTTTACACAGTGTAAAAGTTTACTATTTGAGAGTCTATTTTGTCCCAAGAAAAAGTTCAATAAACCTATTGTTCATTTTTGCGGTATTCCACACAAAATGAAAGTACACTTACTGTAATATTTACTGTATTCTTCTTCTTCAGAAGAGTCGAAGCCTTCTGGTTCTGATGCTCCATGTTCACGAGTGCTAGCGAAAATAATCTCTGGCGCGTCCGTAACTGTTATGTTTTTTTTAGCCATTTTCTCAGTCTCTCTCTTGTTTCCTCACATACGTTAACTGATGGGAGACACATGGTTTATGTTTTGTTCTTGGTCGGTAGGTCCTTAGTGATTTCTTGAGTGTCCATTTGTCATTTCAGACCAACAAAGCTGCAGCTGCCCCGGCCGAGATTTACTTGACCGACATACGATACAACCAAATCCCACACAGTGTAACGCAAAATCAAGCTGCTTTGAGTTGCCTCATTGGCTGCTGTGAGTCGTCGGGTAAAGTCTCACAATAGGTACCACTGGAAAGCTACAGTTCCAGCGATTCAGTGGTTATCTGCATGATATTTGTACTCCTTATAATCAAAAAGTTGTGATTAAATACGTAGAATATGCGCACTTAGACATGGCGCTGCAAGCGTCGACTCCAGAGGGAAGCCATCATGCTCTTACTTTGAAAACCTTGAAATGTGGAAATGTCGTCATCAGCAGGCCATCACGTGGTTTCCGAAAATAACCGAGTGACACGAGCAGATTTCGGTCGAGACCAGCGGAAAGTTTGTCTCAAAACTCTGTGTGTGTAAAAAAAAAATCCACAAGCAGAGATTTGAGATCCATAAGCGCATTTTTGGTTGACAAATACAAAATGGATTCACAAATGCCTGATCGAAAGTTGTCAATGTTAAAGACATATTCACAAATTCCTTTTGTTTATTTGTATTAGTTATGGTATTCACAGACCTTTTTTCATTTGCAGATCCGTTTTACATTTGCACATTTATTTGTGAGTTTGCAAATCTTTTAAATGCATTTATGGATGGTGTTTTACATTTACAAATCACATATTTACACACAAATTATGTTTATGTTCACACACATTTGTATGAGTCAAATCTAAGCCCATAAAAAAAGGACACTGAATGTGGCATCACAAACATGACTTGAGTCTGAACACAGCAGACAACAGGAGTATTTACAACAGCATGTAAAAACAAAAATACTGCATGTGGGTAGACACTTCCTCTCTGTCTTACTGTTACATAAATCCCATGAATGTATGAGATTAAGTTAGCTTCATCATCTCAATCAGTGATTAAGTGAATAATAAAGTTTATCTAGTTTTTTAATCTCTCAAACTGTATCAGTGTCCTTTGTTGTGAAGCACTTCGACATTTGTCTTGGCAGATGAGAAGTGCTATATAAATTAAATGTATTATTATCAGGTTACTATCAGCCTGTCACTCATTATTTTTAGGGAGGGGGCGGGTTTGGAGGAACAGAGGAGACGGTGACCTCGGAAGCTTTCCTCCTACTTTCACAAACTTTACACAAGTATTTATCAACTGAAAATAGCAAGAGGACATTCATACTCTGCAATCCAAGACTTGATTAAATCCACCAAAAACCTGACATGGTGCTAACGCAAGTATTTTTTAAAACATAAATCCATGTGTGTCTGTGCCGCAGCGACACGGACTGATTCAGGTGCATTTATTGTCGCCGGATTCTTACTACACAGTCTGTGAACCGCGAGCGGCGAGCTACTGAAAAGCTTGACGTGTTGGAGACCTCTGCCGTAGACCAATGATGTAGCCGCCTGCAATACCCAAACTAACAAAAGCAATCACAAAACCTTGTAACCTGTTTAGAGTTCGACCTGCTGTCAGAGCAACATGTGTTGTAAAACCTGGTTTTGAGTCTTAACTAGTCTGGGTGGTCATAAAACAGAAATTCCTTGCTTGTTAAACAGTTCCCCAGTCAAATTACACTTTTACCTCACCTCCTGGACAACCCCCATTTGGTAACACCCCACCCTTAAGGCCCCTACACACCAAGCTGACACCAAAGAACCATGGATGTATAATAAGAACTGGATACAGCGTGGGAGGCGGGGTCTCGTTCTTTCCTATGAGAGCTGCTCGGTTATGGCTAGAAAGGATCCGTCTTGTGTAAAACTCTCGCGAGAGTTTGCAAGTCACGTGGCTGAATGTTTACGTTTGGCAGGCAGCCTTTCAGTTACGATTGTTAACATCAGTGGGCCACAGCAAATGATGGTGAGAAGCTAAACTATCTATTAATTATGTCAATGACAGGGAGTGTGATTGTTGAAATAGGGTGTTAGGGGTCTTCCTGTTCAAAGAAGAATGACAACACTGTAGATCACCAACACTATGGTTTATTTTTTATTCACAGGCAAGTAATGTTGTCGCAGTAAAAGTCCCAAGATAGCTCCTGATGCAATACAATGTTCCCTTTCAGTGTTTTACTATGATGTCTCTATTAATATTGCTGCTGCATTAATGTGTCTGTTGCATGTTACTGCTGTAGATGTGTTTCCATAACCGCCATAACCGAGCTGTTCATTGGCGCATGAAGTCAAAATGGCCCAACTTTTGAGAGAGCGAAACGTCATAGATTACCCGTCATGGCTGCCAGAGCAATTATCTCCTCTGCCTGCAGCTTCTGAAAAGTGCTAACAGAGCTAAGGGTCATGTTAAATAGGGCAATCAAACATTTGTATTGTACTGCATATATAGGGTAATACTGTATAACCAAACATTGTTATTGTACTGGAGGCTGTGGCGCAGTGGACTAGTGCGTTGGTGTTCTGACTGCAGTCAGCATGTGGGCAAGACACTTCACCCCAAGTTGCTCCTGTGGGGATTGTCCACACTATTGAGTATGTAAGTCGCTTTGGATAAAAGTGTCTAACATGTAATGTAATGTAGCCTACTGTGTATATATAGGATAATACTGTATAACCAAACGTTGTACCAGTTTTTAAAATAGAAATGAAGGTGACTTAAGTAAAGGGATTATATTTAAAAAAGAATTATCGTAAGCATTGTAATAACTGCAAAATGTTTAGAGGTTGTTTTTATTATTATTCACTTAAAAATAATTAAACTGCAGAGCAGGTTGGACTCATGGCTCGTTTGTTTTTGTGATAAATGATCCTTCTAGCTGTGTTTAAAGATTTAAGTTTTTTTTTATATTGTTTATCGCACATTATCTCACCTCCATTAACTTTGTGTTTTCTTTGTTGGCATCACCTGTAAAATATCTTACTGCATTGTTTGTTGAAACACAAAGTTTGCCTCTGCACAGTATTTTAGTAAAGTGTTTCCTCCTCTCCACTCTTGCACATGTTTGTGCTTTAGAGGATTTTAAAGTTAAGCTGCTTCACTCCAGTTTGACACTTTGACACCACACAGAATGGTTGACATCATTGCTGCTGTGTATGTTCAGCTAACATCCCCTTGTAGTTACAGTATAACACTTTTTTATTTCACAGGTTTAAACTTACTCATTTGTTAGTTCATATAGAATTGAATGCTCTATTTGTTAGAACAACACTCTCATTTTAGTGTAGAGCATCAGATTACATCAACATCAGATACACAAACACATCCATAGTATATAACCCTATGGTTGATCTGCTCATTGATTATAACCAGGTCTAAAATCTTCCAGGATTTTTAAATATAAACACTCAATCTTTTATGAACAAAAAATACAGGATGTTACAGAGACGACACACTGTTCACACACTCAGTGAGCAGAGACGTCATGGAAAAACACTGCTCTCTCTGTCTCTCGTGCTCTCTCTCTCTCTCTCACATGGCATGGCAGGGAGAGCCAGCTGTATACACGTGTTCACTATACTGGCTGCCAAATCATTTAGATAATATAAAGTTATGCTAGCCTTTGAGTCTCATGTGTTAATCTGAATATGATGCAAATATGTCTTTGTTACCAGATCAATACATACAAACAGATTTTCTGGTTTGCCTATTTTGCTTGCATCCTCTAAAGACCAATAACCTGGTGAGTATCATAGACTGAGGGGTGTGACATTCCATTCACCGATACGACTCATTCATAGACTAGAGGTTAGCACGTTTTTACCAAACACAAGCAAGGAAAATGACGATGAAAAGTAGCGCACAAAGAGAATTTGTCTTGAACCCTAAGCTAGATTTTGACACCTTTTTTTTCAACCAAAAGGCAGGAATGTGTTTATGCTTTTGCTTTGTAGAATCTGGTGACAGATCCACTTGAAAATGTAAGTTTGCTGTGATATCAATGACTACTGTCATATCTGGTCCGACACACACTAGCACAGTGTGTTCCCAAGCTTTAAATGTCATAGTGATCTACTAAACAAACAGCAGGGGGCTGATTACATGGTTTAATGTAAATACACATTGTATTACATAAGATAAGAAGATGTTTCGATATTTGGCCATCAAGCTCTTTGATTACAGTCATAGGCTAACAGGTTTTTCGAATATGGTTCTCTTTGTTTTTGCGACAGAAGACATATTTATAGGCAGATAAACAAGTCAGGATTATTCTCCTCTACCCCATTTTACTTCCTGCGTCACCCATCTGTTCCCTCTGCCAAGGGCAAGCAGCAAGAAGAATCAAAACGGGCAAAAGAGATAACACAGTGCGAAAAAAAAAACTTGGAGAATGATCTAATCATTCCAGGCCTTGCTTGCCTGTACCTTGCCTATATCTGTGTTGACAGGTAATAGAAAAAGAAACTGCAAAGACACAGAAAGCTCTCAACCGTTTGTGCACATTTAGCAGCCATTCCACATCAGCTACACTCATTGGCAGCTAGTGTTGTTGACAAAATTAAACTAGCTTGGCAAGAAAACTTTTTTGCAGCAGCAGTTCTTATTGCATCTGCCCTACTAGGTGTGTCATGGACAGCCTACAATTGCCTGGTTCAGAAACATACAGAGATCAGAGGGAATTGAGCATCGGTCCATGTCGGCGGCAGTTAAAGGCAATGTGAGCGTCCATTCCCATTGGATAACGGAGAATTTTATACTAGGAAGTAAGTATTCTCCTTACTGTCGATTTTACAGTGATATCTGCACTACTCATCAACTCAAAAACACCGGATTATCCATTGATTGGTTTAAATTGTGTACAATGCTTTTGTATTTTTCCCCTTTGATTCGGGGAAACACATATTTTTTCGGAGTTTAGGATGGCAGAAGACACTACACTACCCATAATCCTCAGCTATCGTTTAGGACTACACCAGCTGCTTTGCTTGACAAACCCCGTGAATAGTCTTCAAGCTCTGTGATTGGATGTTGGAGTGGCAGTGCGCAAAGTTTACGCCGAGCGTCAAACAGCACTTTGAAATGGAATGAAACCCATCGACGGCACACTATCCTAAACTGGATTCGAACGTGTCCTACCCACCGGAACTACACATGCTGGCTATATGTGTTTTTTGCAACATGTTCTATGGTACGTCTCTACTGGGAATTGTAGTTTTAAAAGACGTGTTCGTATTTCCCATAATTAGAAGTTGCCAGTATTAAACTGTATACATCCCTGGAGGTT